TTTTTTTTTTTTTTTTTTTAAATTTTCATCATGTTATATCTGATAATATGATAATCCTAAAATTCTCGTGCAAATATTTCTTCGAAATAACATAGTTACAGTTGGAATTTTTAACTTCTGCATATACGCCATTATTCTTCGAATATCAAATGACAGAAATTTAGCAATAAAGTTATATTTTACTCCAATTTTATGTCAAAATTAATACATTTTTAAATGTACACCATTTATTTCCAATAATTATAATGGAAATTTGATTCAAAGTTTTATTATACCATACCTCTTAATTTCATTTCAAACTAAACTTAAAAAGATAAATATTCAATACCTTTTTCAACACACATAGATAAGACTGCTTTAGACACAATTTTAGACGTTATTAAATCACTCGAATAACATCCATCGACTTAAAATCGTTTAAAAGGTAAAAGATATAAGCTTGTATCTCGAAATAAAATTTATTCGTCGTAAATGTCTAAGATAACGTTTTTATGGAAAAAAAAAAAAGAAAAGAAAAGAAAAGAAAAAAAAAACATATCATCCCGTGCATCCAACTCATCATGTATTCGACGAAAAACGGACTAAACATAAAGTTATGCTGATTGATATGGTTATGCCCGAGGAATATTAAAATCCGGCCATTTTATCACGTAATATAAAAGTCACGTTCACGTGGTTATCATCGTTTTGTACGATCGTTATTCATCGCGATGAGCCGTGAATTACGAATCGACGAGGATTCCAAAACGAAAAATCGACGTGTTCGCATTGTGAACCCATCCATCATTGGACACTGTACTGCTGATTTTTATCGGAGACAAACACCGCTTAATTTGCATCGGCGGTGTATTACATCGGCGTATATTTCGCAGTGGCCAGTTATGTAAATCGTCTCCATTTTGCAATCTATTTAGAATCGTGTATAGAAAGAGAATTTTATTATTTCTTGATAATAGTTTCTTGATAATAATAGAGAAGAATTCGTCACTTTTCAAAAGGAATTTGTGGAATATTTGGCATATAAGAAATTTTACTTTTTTTTTTTAATAATAATTGCAAATTAATAGTACCTTTTAATTTTGTAAGACAAAATTAGAAAGACTTTTGTTTGGAGAATGAATGGAGGCTTGTAAATTATATTTTTAAAGATATTTACTTTCTATTACTTTTTATTAATGACGAAATTTCTTTTTTCTTCCAGGATACTTTGGATACCAACAGATGGTCGTCTTCTAGGAGCAATCAAAATGGGTACGTTCACCATCAATATTCACATTCTTTTTTATTCGTCAATTAATCTATTTATTCTTAATCGTTTTCAGTTACGATCCAACCCACAACAAGTCCAATATCTACGTGTTGGAACTGGAGGAGAAGAAAAAGAGCGTGCAGGAGTACGAGGAGGATTACAATCCTTACGAGCACAGGATGGTCGCCCATCCAACCACGTAAGTGGTTCTATTCAATTAATAATTTTCCTTGTTACAATTCTTATTTAAATAATAAAACAATATGATTTCTCTTCTTACCTACAATTATCTTCTATCTTCACTGTTTTAAATTCAATTCGCAGAAAAGCTGCATCACTTACGGGATGACCTAATGATATCAGAGAATCGTGGATCGAATAGATCGATCGTGTCAAAGAAAAAAAAAAAAAAAATAAAAAAACAAAAAGAAAGAAATCGAAACAAATCGATATCGCTCGAATAGTCAATGCAATCGCGAGAATTTGCATAATGTTGAACGCCGCGTGCATTCGAAACGACGTTTCGCTTATTCCAACAGCGTTTCTCTAGATACAAATTATCCGGTAATTTGTTACGACGATTAGTCACGAAGCGGAAGAATAAGATTACCTTCAAGGAAACAGCTTGGAAAATTCTGGTTAAAAGGTCGATAGATAGGTTTATGACGAAACCTATGTTTTCTGGAAAATGATAATTAATTGGTACGCGGCTTCCATCATTATACGTGACAAAATTTTGTCGACACAAATTTCCATATAAATTTAAATCATGATATTTGCTTCTCTTTCTCGATCAAATCATATCCTTATTTCTTAGAGAAATATTCGTAATTTGTTTCTTGGCTCACGTTACATAAAATGTTGGAATGATAATTAATTATCCTCCCCTCCATCGAATCCATCTTTTCCCCTCTTTCTTTCGCGAAAACCTTGCTTATTAATCACTTGAGCTTGAGATTAAATTAAAGGACAATTGTCCTTTTATTAAATTTTTAATCCTTGAATAATCGGGAATTTACAATTTTTAAAATTGAAAAACGGGGGATTTTTTTTGTTAAACATTTCAGGAGCTTCGAGACGTTGCTGCATCTGCTTAAAGGCAGCTTAGGAACCGGAATACTCGCGATGCCAAGGGCTTTCTACCACGCTGGCTACGGTATTGGCACGATCGCGACCATAATCATAGGTTTATTCTGTACTTACTGTATGCGGATACTCGTCAGCTCCGAGTACGAGCTTTGCAAGAGGAAGAGGGTGGCTTCGTTGTCTTATCCGGCTACGGCAGAGGCTGCGCTGGCCGTTGGTCCATTGCCGTTCAGGCGATTCTCAAGGGCGTCCGTGTGAGTAGTTTAATCGTATTTAATCTTCACGCAGGATACGTCTTGGAAATATCCTTGGGATTATTTTTGAAACATTTCCTTGAAGGAGTACGAGTATAATACCGAGAAACAAAATTAATAAAAATGATTTTGAAGATACAAAAGAATTTTTTGATAAGGAGAATGAGAAATTCAAAATTTAATAATTTAGCGAGAGTTTTCAAATTTTTCTATCTGTTAACCTGTTAACTCGATGATTTTTTTTTTTTGGAATTAAAATTAAAATGAAAAATCTGTTTTTCATATTCTGGTGTGTAACAGATACTTAGGTATTAATTATTATAGGTAAGGAATTAAGAATTAATAAATTTAGAAAGCGAATTAATTCAAGTCAAATCACTACTGTAAATAAAAGTTTAGATTATATTTTATAATTATCTGTAATCAATCAAGCTTAAGCTAATAGGTTAACAGGTTAAGGATCGATAATGAATTTTTCTAATAGTTAAATTTATCGATTCAATTTATTTTTTAGAGGAAGAAATATCGACGAGAAAGATTTATTTAATGATCGAAATTTTTTCAGAAGATTATCCTTAATTTATGATCGTCGCTATTAACACGAGAACGTGTTAAATCGTGTCAAGATCGTGATACATAATAACATAATAAAAAAAAAAAAAATCTAATTGAATGGATTCGCGTGCAAATAAATGCTTAACGAGATTATCTCTATACAGCACAATAATAAAGTAATCTTGTTGAAATTTCAACCGAGAAAAATCCTTTGTTTGCAGTCACACGATAAACCTATTCCTTATGGTATATCAATTGGGAACTTGCTGCGTCTATACAGTATTCATCGCAACGAATTTGAAAATGGTTAGTACAATTATCAATTAATCGCACGTGAAGTTCATCGTAGGATTAAAAAAAACCATTCATCGAAATCATTTTCATCGATTTTTCCCCATCATGCGATCGATCATTTGAACTTTTAAACAATTTTTACTCGATAAAAGTAAAAATATATTTTTTCATTAACACGACGATTAAAATCTACTTTAATCAACTTGCGAATATCTCTCTTTTTTTTTTTTTTTGATATAATAAAGAAAAGATATTAAAACGATTGAAACGAAAGAATTAAAATTTCAAAAGTTTGAAGAACAAAATGTTTTCGCAAGTAGAAATTTAATCAATTAATATTTCTGATTAAAAAGAGGAAAGAGGGGGAAAATTGTGAATCAACTTGTTAGTGAAACTTAATCGGGATTTAAAAAAATCAAGTAGATCTAAAGCTAAATAGATAAAGCTAATTAGAATTTAACTAATGTCAGTTAATTCTAATCAGATTACAGATAATGTGAATTCAAATCCAGTTCTAGACCTAATAAGATTTCATCTAAATTCAACTGAACACTGCTTAACCCACAATTAAACCTCATTAAAGATTCGCTTCCACTTATATAAACTCACTTTACCAAATAAGAATCATAATCACCTGATACCCAATAAAAATCTAGTCTTACATCCAATAAAACCTCGTCTCAAATTCCTCTCAACTAGCATCAATGAGAAACGAATCAATGTTCAAAATTTTCAATCTCTCCTCTCGTCAAAAATTTTCGATCCACCAAAAATTGATTACAAAAATCCTTCTACTTCCAATACTTGAAATTAATACAATAATCTTCAATCTCCAATTTCCCTTATTTACCAAATCCAAAGAATCAATTCTACTCGATTCAGAGTCAGAAATCAATTCATAAAATTTACCCATTTACCCCGTAATCCATCGTAATTGAAAATCCTGGATTCAAACCACCTTCTCAACCGAGCAACCAATGACATCACGTTATTTCGTTAGCTAGCTCCGCTCTCCATCTTTCCCCGACGAACGTAAGCAGAAATGACTCACAGAGATTTCGCTACTCTTGTTACTCGCGCTGATCTAGCTTTTACCGCCAGGAATCCCGCTCTAAAGCGGCGCGACCAGACTGTAGTAGCACGAGTGTAGGCAGAGAAAAAGAGAGCATGTAGGTCAGGGAAACACGGCACGAGGAATGAACGATTAGACGGGCCGACGCGTCGTTGTAAACGCCGTGCAGCCTCGAGTCAAGGTGATAAATACACGGTTTCAGGTTCGTTGACATTTTTATCATCGGACGATGAGGCAGGATGGGGCTAGATTTTTCTCTCTCTCTCTCTTTTTTTTTTTTTTTTTTTTTTTTTTTTCATTGGCCGAGGACATCGAGACGGCCCGTTTCGGTCATCGTCAAGAATCAGGAAGAGGCTCGAGGCTTCTCTTCTTTCGGCACGTTGACCGTGAAATTAACATAAAAGATATCTCGAGTACTCGCTTCCTCTTGTTTTTAATTTTCATGCAAGGATGTTTGTTCTAACGCCTTTTTTTCTTTCTTTTTTTTTTTTTGTCTTGTCAAAAAAGATTTTACGAGGTGGTTTAGATGAGGCGATTTATTAAATAGTTTTTCTTCGACGAAGAAACGAGTTTTTAAATATTTATATTCGATCGAGATCATTCGATCGAAAAGAGAAATTTGGAAAGTTTCTTTTTTTTTAGATATTTTCATCAATATTTTTCCAATGCCTCGAGATTGTTTTTTTTTTTTTTTTAATGCGCCTCGAGATCTCTCCAAGAATGCGATCATTATATAACTCGTGCCCCCTCCTCGCCAATCATTCGCACAATTTACAAGTCTAATTTTCACGCAGAGTTACAACTTCTTCGTTCGACGCGCGGCATTCCTCTTCGACTTTCCCGAATACGCAAATAAAAAACATATATATATATATATATATTCCTCTTTAATTATGGATACGAATTATTCGATTGAAGAAACAATTGCATAATCGCGTAAGATATTTTGCAAATTATATCAAGGATCTTTTGTAATTAGAGTCAGAAGGATTTGTCATAAATCTTGGAAGAAGGTCGCCTCGATTACTTTAGATTTCTGCGTCTGAGTAACCTCGTTCCATCCTCTTTTCATGGAAATTCTTCACACGTATGGGGACGAAATTTCAATCGTTTGTTAATTCGTTGGGGTTCGTTGTAGCCCCGTTACACTAGAATCTTTCCAATTGTTACAATTTCACTAGTTTTTTGTCGAAAGAAAAAAATGCAAATTGAATTTTCTTTCGAATGAGAGATTCTTCAGACAAACGAGATCTTTTTCTTAAATGGTATACACGTTTCGTAATATTTCTTTCTAAACATTAAATAATATTTTTATATTTCAATTTGAATAAATATTTAATATATATATAACTTATAGAAATATTATTTTAAGATCAAGATATTTCATCGCAATAAATAGTTTTTTAACTAAATACTATATATAATCTATTGTATATAATCTATTGTATATAATCTATTGTATATAACGCAACGTATATAAAAATGCTTAATACAAAAGACTAAATCTATTTTCGGTATCTAAGGAATAAGAAGTGAAAAATAGAATAAGCGGTTACGTATCTTACGACGCTTATTGCGTTTCGATTAAATGGAAAGTAGCGTATAGATCGCGTTTATTCTTTTCCCACTTGCTCGCTCTCAAAAAACAGACAGCGTTTATTACATCTTATTTCAACTAAATTCAAACTTATTAACTAACCTTTTGCGTAAGATCACTTCCTCCCTCTGTACAAATCCTCTATCCCAAAAACGATTCGGATCTTTTAAAAAAAAAAAAAGATTTCGTTCCAACTCTCTATACATATCCCAAAAACGTATCCCAATTTCACTTGCATTTATACGTCGTATTCCGATATCACGATATCCCAGCCACGAATATTTCGAAACATCGATACTTCACGATCGATACACTTCCCACCGATATACTGTTCCCACACAGAAAACCTTGCCGTCCTAACAATCCTTTCTCCGTGACTAAACGCACCGACTAAACAGAGCCAGTTAGCTCAACAGGTGTTCGTTCACTCGAGAAAAAGAGAGAGAAAGAGAAAAAGAGAAAAGAGGGAAAAAAAAATATACATAATTCGAAAGCTCACCGATTTTCGAATCACGAATCAAACGAATACCGATCCAAGACAGATGGATTTTCTGCATCGATTCTGATCGAATTCGATTCGAGGTGTTCGTAAAGGAATCAAGTTTTCCCGAGTGTTGTTGCCGCTCGTTTCATCCACGTTTTCTAACCACTTGCCGTAATAACATGTGTCGTAACTAAACTATCCATTACATTGCCAGCGCAGGAGGTCTGCGTTCCATTGCACAGTGAAACGGGCGCATACGCGCACACGCACACACCTGCACTGTGCACACCTGCGCGCGCGCCTATTTATCCATCTATCTATCTATCTATCCAGTTTCCAAACGGGTCGACACAGACGCGAAGAATTTTGCTTGAAATAATCGGTCGACCGGTATATATCGCTCGCGGATATGGATCACGTTGAACGTGATTTGCGCTCCTCCTGTTTGGGGGAGGAAGGAAATAGAGGGGTCGAAAATTTATCGGGTTTTTGTCTCGCTTTGCTTGAGTAGGCTTGTGCGTGGAATTCAGATTAAATAGGTTATTTGTAATTATTTCTTGTAAAAGTTGATTTAAGAAATTTGGTGGTTCGATGGATGTTTGTTTGAAGTTTATTCGAATTCGATTTGGAATTTATGGATATAGATATTTCTAGATGAGTTTTTGAAATGTTTTGGACGTGTTTTGATTTATTGGGAAGAAAGTGAAGTTCGTTTGAGAAGTTCGTTTCATTTAGTTTTATTAAGAAAAGGAAAATTTTGTAGAATACGATTGAATTTGATTTAATTAATATTTTACTTTTTATTATTATTGTTATTATTATTATTATTATTTTTGTATTGTATAGAAAAAGTTTGCTTCCTTTTGATCTTATGATAAAGATTTATTAAATTTTCCTTATATATGTATTTCCTAGAAGAAAGTTTATAAACAACTATACTGATTCACTGATTTCAATTTAGATTTTTAGTTAATATAGAAATCTTTTTCCAAAAAATTATTCCTTTGATACAATTGATCCAATTTAAATTATTACCAATATATCTAATCGCGATGAAGCAAAGGGGAATAAGATTGGACAGGTAATAATTCAATTTTTTTTAATCGA